GGTGAGTGGGTGGGTGAGGGGAGGGTGAGGGGTGGGTGAGGGTGAGTGAGGGGTGGGTGGGGGGTGGGTGAGTGTGGTGGGTGCGTGAGGGGTGGGTGAGGGTGTGGGGGTGAGCGTGTGGGGGTGAGGGGGGAGGGTGAGGGGAGGGTGAGGGGTGGGTGAGGTGAGGGGTGATGGGAGGGTGAGGGGTGGGTGAGGGGAGGGTGGTGGGTGGGTGGGTGAGGGGAGGGTGGTGGGTGAGGGGAGAGGGGAGGTGGTAGGTGAGGTGTGGGTGAGTAAGGAGTGGGTGGGTGAGGTGAGTGGGTGGGTGAGGGGTGGGTGGGTGTGGGGAGGGGTGGGTAAGGAGTGGATGGGTGAGGGGTGAGGAGCGGGTGGGTGAGGGTGAGGGGAGTGGGTGAGGTGAGAGGGTGAGGCAAGGGTGAGGTGAGTTGGTGGATGCGGGGATGGTGAGGGGTGGGTGAGCAGTGGGTGGATGGTGGGTGAGGAGAACGTTTGTGTTTGACGTTGTTTCGACATTGGGTTTCGACGATGGTGAGATTGGTCGTTTTAAATTAGTTTAATAAATCGTTCGCGTTGCTGATTGTATTTGGTAGTTACGTTAGGTGTGGGAGGTGTAGAGTTGTAATTACCACTAATTATGCGCGCCCGCGACAATTAGTAACGGCAATTAAAATAGGCGTTAGGGGGCCGTCCATAAATGACGTCACGCGATTTTTGACGATTTTTGACCCCCCCCCCCCCCTCGTCACACGACGTCACACGACGTCACAAAGTCAGACCCCCCCCCTTCAAATATGACGTCACAATGCTCTGCCCCCCCCCCTTCAAATATGACGTCACAAAGTCAGACCCCCCCCTCAAATATGACGTCACAAAGTCAGACACCCCCTCAAATATGACGTCACAAAGCTCTGCCCCCCCACCCCCAAAACCATATTTCCATTTTGAAAAAAAACATGCTTCAAATCGCTTTAAACTATTGTCGTCGTAGTGCGTATTTAATGTGGCGCTGCACTCTGATGTTGTAGGAGAAAACATTTATTAAAAAGTCTATTTAATTAAGTAGAACGTGTCGTCTAAGTTTATTTAAAGTTGCGCATTTTGATGTGACGTCACATTTCTCACCGCCCCCCCCCCCTCGTCACACATCGTCACAAATGCCTGACCCCCCCCCCCCCAGGTGCGTGACGTCATTTATGGACGGCCCCTTATCGCGAATATGCCACCTTCGAATGTTACGGTTGGCTAAGTAGGGTGCCAAAGAAGTTCAACATCCATCGCCACTCGATCCCCGTACAGATGGAAACAGACGGCAATTCGTACAATTGTTGTGCTGCCATCTCCCGACGAAGCAGGGTTATGGCACCTCGACGCCAACGCGAAGGGAGTTTCACAACATCTGTGCGTGCGGTGATCCACTAACCCCTCGCTGCTGCTGCTGCCGCTGCCTCCACACTGGGATTTTTGTAATACGGTGGGGTTTAAATTTCGAATTAAAGCTTTCGCGACTGCAGGGATTCATCTCCTTGGTTCTTTCGGTAACGTCACGTAGAATGGAAATAATAAAATAATAAAAATAAAACATAATAAAATTAGAGAATTAAATAATTCTCTTATTTTATTATGTTTTATTTTTATTATTTTTTTATTTCCATTCTACGTGACTTTACCGAAAGAACCAAGAAGACGGTGGGGTTTTTCTGGATGATTTGCTGGTTTATCCAGGATGTTTCTTTTGCGCGTCGTCCCTTTAAGATGTTTCTCTGTTCATATTTTGTTTGTTGCGGTTGCACCCGACTCAAGAGCCGCATGGCTATCTCCATATATATAAATGGCAAAGTTGTGAATGTGTGTCTGTTCAAAATGTTTAGCGTACTTCCCGACATGCAACAAACTTGAAATTTGCCATGTGGGTACTTTCCAGACTGTACACCATGCACAAATTATTAAAATACACTTTTGTGGTTTTTTTTGGGGGGGGGGAGCTCAATAATGCATATTTTTTTGCACGGAAACTGAGTTGTGACGTCAAATCTGTCACGTGACCCGCGCACGTGGTAGCGTAACGCATTGTAGTATAGTGGGTAGCGCTACGCTGCGAACTCGGCGACCCGAGTTCGATTCCCGCTCACGGCCACAACCGGTGACGATTTGAACCGGTCCTGGGCCTCCCCTAGGTCGACTCAGCCTTAAACAAGTAACTGGTGCGGTGTGCGTGAACATCGCCACTGGGGAGACAAAGGTGGCCGGGCGTGGTGAATCCAAGTCCCGGGCGAAGCCGGGTAGTCAAGCTCGTACCTAATAAACGAAACTTGAAACTTGGATTACAGGCAGGCACCACTGCCCAGCAAACAGATGACATCGGACAGCTTGTGAGATTACACTCAGTGATCAACGCATATCGGGGAAAAGAAGCCAGCCGTACAAGGAGATTTTCTCTCACAAAAGTTACTAAGTGACAGCAGTTTTCCAAGCATCTCCGATTTATTGAATACAGGCATTACGTGACGAGATGTTTTTCAGTTTATTTCAGTTTCATTTATTGGGTATAACCCTGTGAGCCACGCGGCTCTTGACTCGGGTTCAACCGCAACAAAACATGAACAAGAAACATCTTAAAGTGACTACACGCAACAGAAAAATGTGATATTCTTAGGTTTTTTTACCGAAAAAACCTAAGAATATGAATCCTTGCAGTCACGAAAGCTTCAAATCTAGAAGAAAAATGTGATTTTCCTCGCCTGGTATGCAGGTCAGGGGTTAAATTCCGACCCCGACGCCCGATTATGTATAGTTTGCATGTTCTCCCCGTGGTCGCGTGGATTTTTCTCCGGGTCTTCCCGTATTTTTCCTCCACACTGATAAACATGCCTTTCGGGCATATGGTCGCTATAAATGTCCCCACGAGAAGCCAATAAGTTGGGCCATCATTTGTGGCCAGGTCGCTTTCGTAAAAAAGTGATATAGCTCAGTGGGCCTTAGTTTTTGTTTTTAAACAGACGCTGCTCCTCCACGCAGCAGCATCGAGGCCCCGATGCAGTTCAGAATCAGAATCTTTGATACATATGTAGTAACTAACTCGGAGATGATTAGACTTGGAGGCACTTCTTTATTAACGAGCCCCATATTTTGCCACTGGTAAAAGAGATCTCAGTGTAAATGCTTACCCCGAGCTCTCAATACTCTGATATTGCACTGTTTGAGTTGTACGCCTTCTGGTGTCATCTGGTCCAACACCAATGGGGACTAGGCTCTAAAGAAAGCCGTCTCGGGTGTGGACCAATCAACTTCAAGGACAGTGCATATTATTATCATTATCAGAGTTGCATCTTTTTGTTTGCTTTTTTGACTACTTGTGTTGTGGTTATTGCAAACATGATGCCTTGAATAAAGGTGTCAGTTTTGTACCAGTTTAAAAGGGTAAAAACCTACTACTATATTTTGCCACTGGTAAAAGAGATCTCATAGTGAGCACCATCGGGATTAACACACTTAATAATCAGTCCGTCTATTATCGGCGACGCTCCTCAGCCAGGACAGCTGGTAGGCTGTCTGACTCGCGGCGTCCCGAGATGGTAGAGACGAAGATGACGACAAGAATATTGAAGACGACGAGAATGGCGACGATGGACTTCAACAACACGACGAGGATCCCCACTCCAACGACAGTCCCGTTGAGCCCCCACAGGGGCCCCTAGTATACTGTCAGCGTGGCCTCACTCCGCCCCCGACCCCTTTCTGGAACCAACCAGCGGGTTCCTGGTGTGCCCCTTCTGTGACCTTTCCCCGAGATCCCCCTCTCGTGTATAGCCCTCGGCAAGGTAAGGTAAAAGATGAACGGTAAACAAAAACAAGACTACCTTTACCCTACCTTTTACCTTACCACAATACAATCGCTCTACTCTCCCTTTTACCCTTTTGCAGGTAAGGTAAAAAGCAACGAGCCTACCTTTATCCTACCTTTTACCCTTATCCCATACAAATTATCCGATTACCTTACCTTGCCGAGGCCAACGTCGGGACTGCCGCACGCCGCAGATCCCCTTTTCTGCCAGCAGCCAGCGCTATGCCACTACACATATATACTGGAGGAATCCGGTGAGCTATTAAGCTCTTTTTTTCACAGATGTCCGGGGTGGGGGTCAGAAAGTTACAAACGAAGATGTCTGTTGGAGCAATGCAATTGAGCAATTGAAACACAACAGTGTGTTTGTGCATATTACAGAGCATTTGTTGAAGGACCGAGATCAAAATGTTGACAGGCAAGCCCAGGGATGATAAGAGCACTCGGAAAACGAACACTTTATTACAATTACAGACGTAAAGGTGTAAGGGTGTTCGATGAAGTTCGTATTACCTGCTACCTGGATAAGACACGCGGACACAGACGATAGGAAATTGAAACGCTGAAAAGTGTGCAAAGAAGCATGGAGAAACAGAGAGAGGAACAAAGTCGATACACTCAGATGTAAAAAAACATTAACAATGGAATGTGTACGCGTTGAGGGACTCTGCTGGAGCTTGCCATGTAGTAGTAGGGTCTCACCGGCGTTCCCATTCCTGAGCAAGTGTGCTCATGACCAGCCCCGGTTTGACAGCGGAGGTCTCACTTCATATCAGTCGAGTGGCGCTATCGTTCATTTGGCTGCGCGACGCTGTGCGGAAGCTGCCTGGCCTCGTCGCTCCACACGAAGCTCTGGATCGTCTCCGCCATCATCACACCCTGGTCTCTATGACTGTAAAATATGGGTACCCTTTACGGAAACATCAGCGCGCGCTGGCTTGAAAAAACATTCAGACTGACCCGCCTACAATCCATCCTGACTGGATTGTGCGAACTCACAAGATATGTGAAAGATCTGATTGGCGTGCTCTTCTGGGAGGCGAAGTGAGGTTGACTGGTTGGGTCACATTACTTATACTTTCTAATGTATACAGATTGAAAAAAATGTTCTCACGTGAAACCCTCCACGCATTCTTGGCACAACTCTAAGTAACGGTCACGTGCCCACTAACGAACAGACTGCAGGCAAAATTAATCAAAGTAAGCTTTATTACTGACTTTACAAACAAACCCCCTTGAGCCACACATACATTGTGTACAATATAGCATCCACAGACATGACACGCCTTGGTCTGTCGGCTGATGGTGAAGCCATGCACCAATAAGGTCATCGTCAGGGGCTCCAGACCGGGCTACATCTTCATCATCTCTTCGTGCCCGACTCTGGATAAACTTACGACTGTGGTGACCGCACACGACATGATTACACCACACATGACATTACACTACACACGACATGCGTGTGCGCGCGCGCTCGCCAGGTGTGTTCCATGGCACCTTCCAGCATCAGTTGGATCCTCTGCCGTGAAAGCTCTCTCCACATTGCCTCCACCTCCCCACCATGATTACTGGGAGAGTGGGGATGTAACGATTCATCAAAACGGCAATTGAACCTTATGGCGGGACCCCAGGGTCCTGAATAAACGGAACTCAAAATCGCAATAACTTTATTGCCATGTCGTCCAAGCGCAGCTAGGACGAATGCGCAGAAGAAACAAAACTTTGAAACGTTGATTAGCGCATCGTGTAGAGCTCGTCGAGAGGAATAGATTGCCGTATCGTTCGCCTTCAACAGACATAAAATGACGTCGCAACGCAGTTTATGTGAGAGCCGGGGGCTTATGGGACCTCGGGGTCCCGCAATAAGGTTCAATTCAAAGCGCACACAGCACGTACGAAGCTGAAAACATCGATTCTTAGGCGATTAGATTCACTTGGCCGAGCGGCAGGACATTCCGTCACTTGTTTCTGAGGTTCACACGGTTCGAATCCAGAGGCCGCCCCGATTAATAATGCAGCATGAACCACAATAAAAATATATACTACCGCCGGCTCTGCTTCGCCGACAGTGGGACATTTAAAAAAAAATATCACACGTTTGAAAATTAAAATTAAGGTTTACAATATAAATATCAATCGTCGGCCGCAAATGCGAAACATCTTGGGAGGAGCCTCCAGATTAGGAGTTTTGGGACTCGGCGATGCTTTCCTGAGTAAACGACCGTGATCATAATAAAATGCGTCGCGAGCTTAGAGAATCGATGGTTCAAGGTATCGTTACACCCCCTAATCGCCGCTACCGTCTTCAATGTGACCAGGTGCGATGGTCCACCCATAGGCAGTGCCACTAGTTAAGTAAATTTCCTTTAACCAGGTAAGAACTCTGTAGAGATCAGGGAGAAGCTCAATTGCAAGAGCTGGGGGGCAGGGGGAACGATGCCCCCCCCCCCCCCCTTTGCAATTGGTAACCAACAGACTTGAACCCTCCCCACTAAAAATGCAAATGCTCACGGGGTAAGTGAGCGGCCTGCGCAGCAGTCAAAATAAAACGTATTAACGCAATACCTACGTTGCACCGAGAATGCAATATACGTACTCGAGATGACTTTTACACTCCACACCGGAGCATCCCAAACTGGTGTTGAACCTAGCATTTCTCGGAGAGGCGGTAACCACCTGAGGGCAGCACTCGCCGCAGGGAAGAACATGCAATTCCCGTCACAACGTTGGATTTTTTAAATTAAAATATTTTTGTTTGCTATAATTATTACTCGATAAACATTAGCGAGTATCAATTACAACATTTGAAGTTGTTGTAACTTTAAGGAGCAATGCTGCACAATTTGGGCATTCGAATTTGCATCCTTTGCTACAGTGATCCGTGCCACTCGGCTACGACGCCTCACAAAAAAACTGGCTTTTAATACCCCTGGGGAAATAAATGCCGTAACCTTAGCTCCCCCCCCACGCCCCCATAACAGTGGCAGCCTCCGACCACTTAAAAAAAAAAGTGGCACCGCCAATTGGTCATCCACCACCTGATCCTCGCCGGCCCACACAAGAGCGGGCGGGTGACAGCGGCAGGTCTGGCCAGTGCCGTAGGCCACTCGACAAGTCTCACGAGCCAACCTTGGCACCCCCGTGTGGCCAGGGTCAGTACATTCCTTGCTCTGTGAAATCTAAAGGCAGCGGCAGGGGCGGTGGTTGGTCGGTCAGCGCCACACGTGGCGGTCATCAGGGTGTGGCACGAGCAGCGACGGCCTCGCTCTTCCCAATAAGTGTCCGGAGCCACGTCCCGTGCTTCGCCGCAAGGCCTCTTCTTTTACGAGAAGAAGACTCGGAGCAGCTTCGTGACCGTCCTGCAGGGTTCTCATCTCCCACGGCCAAAAAGCTGCCCCCCCCCACCGTCCCCTCACCACCGTGCGGTGGGGCACACGGCCAAAGCGACGCTCCGATTACAATGATAAAACCGCAGCAGTGACAACACACGCACACACACACAGGGACACTGCGGCCCTCGCCATTTGTTATAAACACACAACACAGACACACATACGCGCGCTGCTTATTTTAAAGTAGAAAAATATGCCTTTACTGTTACCGTATTAATATACAAAATGGGACCGTCTACGCGGGGTGCGGTCCCGAGCTAATTACGAGAGTCTGGTATAAAACAATGCGAGAGGGACAGTCAACACACACGGGCAGGCCTGAATATACACACACGGGCAGGCCTGAATATACACACATGGGCAGAAGAGTGAATATACACGCATGGGCAGAACAGTAAACACACACACCCGGGCAGGCTTGAATATACACACATGGGCAACTGCCATTCACCACCAAGTAGTGGTGACATCACCACGGTGCCTGTGCCAGGCTAGGTGACATTTGGGGCTGCCTGGCGGAAGGTCATGGGACACACCTAGGTGTCATGAGTTGACTGACTCAGATGAATAGCAGATGCATCACGTGTGCCCCCTACTCTGCCAACAAGGGAAAGACGGTGAGCACACACACACACGGGCAGGGCAGTGAATATACAAGCGGGCAGGAGAGTGAACACACACACACACACGCATGGGCAGGACAGTGAACATACAGGCCATGGCCAGGACAGTGAATGTACCAAAAGGCAGGACAGAGAACAAAAGACACATGGGCAGGACACTGAACATTCCAACGGGTCGGAGAGGCATCTGGCACCATCTCGTTAAACTAAAAAGAACCACTCGTCATTGCTATGAAATCATTAGGTGAAGGTCTAAAAACAGTTAAGTGCTTAAAATTAAGCGGCTGTGGCCAGGCCTTGGGCCGCAGCTCGTTACGGGCAGTGCAGCTCAAGAGAAGGGAGTTTTAGGCTTGCTCCGACTCGGGTGTAGTGTGGAGGGGGGGGGGTTGTTGTGGGTGGAGGGGGTGGGTGAATGCGAGGGTAGGCGCGTAACAAGGTGATCGCTTCCATGATCGGAGTCGTCTCTGTTGTACACTCACGCCACGCGGGGGCGTCGAGTTGAAAGTGAGCAGATCGTACATTCAGACACAGTACAAACGAGATGGCAGAAGTGACGGGTGCAATACAAGTGACAGACAATAAAAATGAGGTTGACGGGAGACATTGAGGGAGACAATAACAAATGAGGCGAGACGGTACAAAGACTAAAAAATTATCGATTCTTCAATCCAATCGCGGCCCCCCACCCCACCGAATCACGACAACACGTCGAATGGCTATCGTCACCCGTGCCGATGACGAATCGTCACCCGCGCCAACGTGAGGGCGAGCCGATGGTTGGGAATGAATGTGGGCAGAGGGCCCCGTGATCAGGAGGTGAGAGGACAAGTGGCAGACGAGCGAGCGAGCGAGCGAGCGGGCGAGCGGGGGACGACCTCACAGGTCGAGCAGCGGGATGTCGAAGAGGTCGCACAGGCCTTCGCTCTCGTCCAGGTTGAAGTAATAGTCCTGGTCGCCAGGCGGCGGGGAGAGCCGCAGCAGTGGGGAGAAGGCTGCAACGCAGAGGATGCAGTTTAACGCGGCGCAGTCGGCTTTCGCGACCAATATCATCCACAGTAAAGGATTTTGCGTAAGAGCGCGGTAAATATAAATGCGTGGTTCACCCACCACCACCCGACACGGCCAAAGTGTCAAGGTTTGTCACGTAAACAAAACGTGCCAATTAGTTACTAGTATAGTGTATAGTGTAGTGTATAGTTTAGTGTATAGTGTAGTGTACAGTAGTGTAGTTTATATTAGTGTGTAGTGTAGTGTATAGTGTAGTGTACAGTCGTGTAGTGTATATTAGTGTGTAGTGTATAGTAGTGTAGTGTATAGTAGTGTAGTGTCGAGTGTAGTGTAGAGTGTAGTGTAGAGTGTAGTGTAGAGTGTAGTGTAGAGTGCAGTGTATAATAGTGTAGTGTATAGTGTAGTGTATAGTAGTGTATATTGTAGTGTATAGTGGAGTGTATAGTGTAGTGTATAGTGTAGTGTATAGTGTAGTGTAGAGTGTAGTGTATAGTGTAGTGTAGAGTGTAGTGTATAGTGTAGTGTATAGTGGAGTGTATAGTGGAGTGTATAGCAATGTCCTGTATAGTCGTGTAGTATGTAGTGTAGAGTGTAGTGTATAATGTAGAGTATAGTGTTGTGTATAGTAGTGTATAGTGTAGTGTATAGTGTAGTGTATAGCAGTGTCGTGTATAGTCGTCTAGTATGTAGTGTAGACTGTAGTGTAGAGTGGAGTGTAGAGTGGAGTGTAGTGTAGAGAATAGTGTAGAGTGTAGTGTAGAGTGTAGTGTATAGTGTAGTGTATAGTGTAGTGTATAGTAGTGTATAGTGTCGTGTATAGTCGTGTAGTATGTAGTGTAGTATGTAGTGTAGAGTGTCAGCACGCCGGTGTGTTGCAGACTAAATGCACAACATTTACAATTCGATTAGTTCGACGTTCAGCTGCCAATTACAGCCAGCTTCATCCGGCGATTTTACAGAATTGTGAACAAGTCTTCCTGTCTCGGTCTTCAACAGAGTCAAGGTGATGCCATTACTGTGAGCCTATCAGGTGTGAAGACCAGAGGGGGGGACTAAATATACTCAGATAAATTACAATTGGTTATGTCAATCTGAGAATATGCAGTACACCAATTACCAGTTGGTTTATTCACAGTTAACCAACATACGTGGAATGGTTTAAAGCTTTCGTGACTGCAGGGATTCATCTTCTTGGTTCTTTACGTGACTTTACCGAAAGAACCAAGAAGATACGTGGAATGCTTTTTGGTGACGATGCACACACGCGCGCGCGCAGGCCCTTGTGTGCCCCCCCCCCCCCCCCCCCCCCCCCCGGCGTCTCTCGCAGTCTATCCGACACTGGTGGTTCCCAAATTCCAGTCCGGAAAGACTCGCTCTTTCAGGAGCGGTCTTGCCAAGTTTTCGCGGGAGAAGGCGACGTTGCCCGGTGTAAACCCAAATGAGTATTTTGCAGTGCCATTTATCGGCATTGGGTGAATATCAATTCCCACCTCCGTCTCCCCCCCAATGTTGGATCTCACACACTGCAGCAGATGCCGATTTAAGCCAGAGCCAACCGAGGGGAGGCCCAGGACTGGTTCAGATATTCGTCACCAACTTTGGCCGCGAGCGGGGAAACGAACTCGGGTTGCCGAGTTCATAGCAGAGTGCGCTAACCACTGCGCCACCGCTCCCCACCGGACCACGCACGATCGGACACTTACTGTCTACAGACATCAGCTCCTTCAGTAGCTCCGAGTCCACGACGTCTGCGGAGCAGAGGGGAGGCACGAATCGGTGAAAATTTCCCGTCGGCAATTGGCCAGCGAGCACCCACAATATCAACGATGACAACGAACGACTATGATTTGACTTTGCCGAGCCGCCCTCCTTTATGCTGCGGCGTCTTAGGGCACTTTACGCGTGATGAGCGACTTTCATTGCATCTCAACTCAACACATTGCAAAGGGCACCCCCCCCCCCAGCGGCAGCTGTCCCTGTGGGTACAAGGCAACTCAACACGAGAAAGTGGTCTTGCCAAGTTTCAGGCATTAGTCTACCAGTAGAGGAAGGATGAGGGGCGCAATCATTGCTAGGTGTCATCCCAATCGAGTTATTTGCAGGTAATTTGTCTAAATTTGGCAAATTTGGACCGTGACGCCACCACACAATGGCTTACAAGTTTTATGATGACGTCATGGGCTCTCTAACGTCCACTGTGAAGCAGCCGGCGCGGAGTGTTTTACGGTAAAGACACACCGCAGTATTGACCAGGGCAGCCTCTGCAACGAGCGGCAAACGCGCCACACGCCGGGCCCACATCTCAAACCTAGCGCTAAAGCGGTGCCAAACTAGACCGTCTGATCCGTGCCGGAAAGGCTCAGCTAAGGCCGTTAAAGGCATCGCCTTGGACGTGTGTGTGGGGTAGATCGTGAGCGTGTGCGGGGTACGTAGCGAGCGTGTGCGGGGTACGTAGCGAGCGTGTGCGGGGTGTGCTCGTACCTTTCGCAAACTCAAACATGTCCTCGAACCCTGCAGGGCGGAAAAGGCATTGAAGAGGTTAGGCGTTTGGCCATCACTGCACTTTTAAACAGGCCGATACTCTTCCTAGACAGCCCTGTATCTTAGGCCATCACACTACACCTCATCGGCAAAGTTAACACTTTACAGCATTTACACATTTAATCGTCGCCATCGTCAGCCACAATCAACCCACTGTTGGATGAAGGCCTCCCCCAAAGTCGTCGCGACCTCTCGCAGCGCCGCGATGCAACGGTTCAACCATCAAGCTCCTGCACACGAGCGGATTTTCATTGCTCCATCTCTCCGTTGGACGCCCTCTCGGGTGCGATCCCTCCTTTGGCTGCCACCAAAACATTTAGTCTTGACTACCGGCCATCGTCTCTACTCCTAGCGACGGGTCCTGTACAAGCCCACTACATTTTCGTAACGGTCAATATGGTGTCTGTGACGTGCCACTGTTCTCAAATCTATAGGTTCCTATTTGTCTCCAAGTGTAATTTCAAGCATGCAACCTTCCATGCTTCTCTGTGTAACTTTCAGTTTTTGCTCTGCCCGATTCGTCAATGTCCTTATTTCACTCATTACAAGTACTGTCAAGAAACTTGCTTGAAGGAATGAATGAGCGCACGTATGAGGCGCTGCAGTGGCGAGATGTTAACGACCTCGCCTGGTATGCAGGAGTTCATGGGTTCGATCCTGACCCTGAAGCCTGTATATATGGAGTTTGTATGTCTCTCTCCCTGTGGTCAAGTGCATTTTTCTCCTGGTCCTCTATTTTCCCCCTTCCCATTTATAATCCACAGCACGCGTTTAGGAGTATTTGGCTACCGCTATAAATGTCCACGTGATAATAAGCCACTTCGCCGAGCTATCATCTGCGGCCAATTCGCTTCTGAAAGAGCTATATTAGCTCAGTGGGCCTTACCTTGTAAACTTAAAATAGTTTTGTAATTTATAGTTTTTGGACGCACGTTAAAGAAAAGCTTCTCCCGAACCCCCCTCCCCAACCCCAGAACGGCTTTTGCCAACCGTCGAGCCTGACCACTTCCCTTGCTGGCGCTTGGCCAGACCGCGTCTCCTGTCCACCAGCAACGGACAAACCACCAGAGAGGGCTCAGCCACTTGGCCGTTCATAAAGATGCACGGAGCACCTACGCCCAGCCCTTGGAGGAGCAGCAGCAGTGGCAGCAGTGGCAGCGCAAGCTGCGAGTGTGACCCGCCATCAATCAATGGTGACTCACACTCGCAGTTCGTCGAACGGTGCTCGTGAGGACCATGCACAGCCAGAGGTCGCAAACGGGTTTTGATTCCTTACCCGTACCCGGCCGCACCAGGGTCGCAAACGGGTAGCCGTACCCAGCCGTACCCGTACCCGTACCTGGCCGGGTACGGGTAGGGTACGGGTATCGGGTACCTGATTGCGACCTCTGGGATGAAGCCATGTTGCAGGCGCGGGTGGGTTGATTTTAGGAACTTGAATTGTGAGAAGAGACAAGACGTTGGGAAATGAGTGACAAACGGTTACTCACCAGTGACTCACGGCCTACCCGTAACCCAGCCGCACCAGGGTCGCAAACGGGTACCCTTACCCGGCCGGGTACAGGTAGCCGGGTATCGGGTAGGGTACGGGTATCGGGTACCCGGTTGCGACCTCGTGCACAGCCCTTTCCTACAATCCCACCGCTGAACGAGGGCCTCACCCGTGCAGTGCGGGTCCGTTATGGTGATTTAACCGCACTTGAAATTATCCACCTCCGAAAATCCCACCACAAGTTACTCATTTGGGATGATGCACACAGCAGCAATCATTGCCCACCTACCAGCAGACGCACGCCCCCCAGTCACTCTTACACAAACAAAATAAACGTGAAACTACCGACGACACACACACACCACACACAGCGATAGAATTGGTAGAGGTACCAATTGGCTCTGTGGCAATTGTTGCTAATGTGCAGCGCGCACATTATCTACACAACAAGAGCAGGGACCCTCAGAAGCGGCGTGACACACGAAGAGCACGAGGCGGGCGGGCGGGCCTGCGTTTCTTTGTACCTTGGGAGCCCTCTGGTTTAATGGGCTGGAATGTGTGAGGTGGGGGTGCGTCGAGAGGGCCCCCCGCCGCCTGTGGCACTGCCACCGGCATAGAGCTCGCGCCTGGCACCCCGCCGTCTGTCCAGCGCAGACACAACAAAGAGACAAAGATCCTAGATTTGAAGCTTTCGTGACTGCAAGGATTCATATTCGTAGGTTTTTTCGGTAAAGTCACGTAGGTAAACAGACGACGAGACAAGAAGTCACAGCTTCTCGAGACGCTGGCCCTTCCTAAAGAGATGCCGAGATAACAAGGTAATACCCATCGCTTTCACACAAGGACTGTTTTCTTGGAATTTCTCTTACTTGATACAGCTGTCGTGCTGTGACGGTTCCACCTGAAGACGGAAGCTTGTGTTGCCTCCGAAACGTCGTGATTTTTCTTTTATTTTACTTTTATTAATTGTAAATTTTTTACCTACGTGACTTTACCGAAAAAACCTAAGAACATGAGACAAAGATCTCCACGTAGCCTTGAGCAGATGGTTGGGGCAAGTGCTGCGAGAGAGCATCCTACGAAAGCCGACATCACGCCGGCCACCTATGTCCCTCCCCAATGCCGATGTTCACACAATGCACCGGTTACTCATTAAAGGCCGTGTCGATTTAAGGGAGCGCACATGACCAGTTTAGCATTTCATCAGCGACGTTGGCTCTGAGTGGGAAACGAACCCGCATCATTGGGTTCGTAGCAGCGTGCGCTAACCACCGTGCCGCCGCTCCCCAACAAGCACGCACCGGTCACGGCAATTTCCTCTCTACGGTGTCACCAACTCATCCCACAGATGGAGTCAGAGCTCATGGGTCATACGTAGCTCAGTTCCAATACCAATAAAGGTCAATTCCCGCATGCGGTCGGGTGCTCGGATTTCTTTCTCCTTGAACCTCTATTTTGTGCCTCTTCTCAACTCACATCTACTGTCCGTTCTGTGGCCAAATGGAACGCCCTTCCTTCCAATATTATGAAGCCACTGCAGACATGCACTTTTAAATCTAGATTGAAAACTCATTTCTGTAGAACTGCTCTTTGTGTTTTAGTTTGTCGTCCTTCCCCCGCATCTCCGATTGGCACGGTTGGCTACGTACGGTGCGAGAGAAGTTCAACATACGTACGCACTACTCTGATCATCCATGACCACTGACGAGTTAAATTTCGATTTAAAGCTTTCGTGACTGCAGGGATTCATCTTCTTGGTTCTTTCGGTAAAGTCACGTAGAAGGGAAATAATAAAATAATAAAAATACAACATATATATATACGCTCCAAGCCTGGGGTGTTTCATTCAGACGCTGTCTTCCCGACAGACCTGTTCTTCACCTGAGGACGGCTGCTTGCATTGTGGCCGAAACATCGTGAGAATTCTTTTATTATGTTTTATTTTTATTATTTTATTATTTCCCTTCTACGTGACTTTACCGAAAGAACCAAGAACACTGACGAGTTATTGATGACCCCTGCTCAGCCTCTAATTTCGTCATCCCCCTCCCTTTCCCCCAAGCGCTTCGCATACAAGTTTCCTTGTTTGCCAGTATGCGAGTATGGAGGGCGTGAAAAGTTGTGAGCGAGCGTGCAGGTGACATTGCGCACACCTGAGCCCAGGTCCAGTTTGGCGGCGGCGCATCCGCTCGGCTCTGCCGCCGCGGCTACGGCCCCCGCTGGGCCCCGGTCCCCCGAGCGCAGCCCTTCCCTCCGCCCCGGGCTCCCACGCCGCCACTCCGAGCCGCTCTTCCTCCGCCCTCCTCTCTCTTTCTCCTCCTCCTTCCCCTCCCTGCCGTTCTTTCCGCCTTTGCCGCCGCCCTCGTCCGCCTCCCCGGCAGACGGCGCAGTCGGCGTTGTCGGCAGCCGTGGCCTTGCGTCGTCGACGCCGCCGCCGTCGTCGCCGGCGTTCGTCGCACCGGACGGGACAGCGCTCGTCGCGATGGACAGCGCGGCATCTTCCGCGTGGCTCGTGGCGGCGCAGCGTGCCTGCAGGGCCGCCGCGAACGCGCCGTCGGTGGTCGGAGTGGCGGCGCGTGCCGGTGCCTCCCCCGCCGGCGGGGAGCAAGGCGGAGGCGGCACGGGGACCACGACGGGCGAGGAGCTGCCGCCGCTGTCCTTGTTCACCAGCAGGACGTTGATGGGGCCCGACTGGCTGCGCAGGTGGATCTGGAACTTGGATTGGCCTCCGGAGACCTGAGCACAGGAACGTAGGTGCGTACACACCCGCACAAATATACACACGCATGCATACACGCAGAAGCAATTCATAATTTTTAACACAAAGCAAGGTCAACGAGAGGGTTTTTAGGTTAGATCGCGTAAATATTAATGTGTCGTTAAACCCGCCACCACCCGACACAGCTAATTAATAAGGTTTGTCGTGTAAACAAAACATGACAATTAGTTACCAACTCGGCAAACCGGTGTGTTCGGGAGTAAACCCACAATATTTACAATTCGAGTATGACGTTTCGCCGGTAATTACAACCAGTCTCACCAGGCGACAGCCAAAAATTGTGGAGAAATCCGCCTGTTTCGGTTTTAAATACAGGGGTAAATGTGATGTTGTCACTGAGTTAATCAGGGGTGAATGCAGTCATATAAATTACAATGGATATCTATGATTAGTTGGCTTATTCATAGTTTTCGATTTAAAGCTTTCGTGACTGCAGGGATTCATCTTCTTGGTTCTTTCGGTAAAGTCACGTAGAAGAAAAATGATAAAATAATAAAAATAAAACATTATTTTATTATGTTTTATTTTTATTTTATTGTTTTATTTTTATTATTTTATCATTTTCCTTCTACGTGACTTTACCGAAAGAACCAAGAAGATTACTCATAGTTATTCAGCATATAAAATATCCATTGTGTATAAATTAGCATTTTTTGGCCTAAAAATGCGTCTCAAATATTGGCCTCTGTCGTTTTTCGTATCAGCCAACACCGCACTCATCTCAATGCGGCACTTAAAAACTATGACAGGAAAAAATATCTTTTTGAACAGGCACCTACATTGTCCGGGAAGGGCACCTCAAGCTCCGTTCCCACCGGGGCCTTGATGACGAGCAGTGTGTCCGCTGCAGGAGAAACATGTGCATCAGGGCGGTAGCACTCAATTAACCATGGCTCACCAGACTGCAACCACCAGGGGTGGGACAACGTCATTGTTATGCAAGTCCAAGTCGAGTCTGAAGTCATCAAATTCATGACTCGAGTCTGACTCGAGTCCAAGTCACATGACTCGAGTCCACACCTCAGAGGTGGGACAAAGTCATTGTTATGCAAGTCCAAGTCGAGTCTGAAGTCATCAAATTCATGACTCGAGTCTGACTCGAGTCCAAGTCACATGACTCGAGTCCACACCTCTGGCAACCACACACGCATCAATCGCTCGGCACACATCGATCCGGCAATTCTTATTTTACACGTATCCCGGGCTCGCTATGCAAGCGTCAAATCGCGTGCACGAGTAACAATTATCGAGTATTCACGCAAATGTCATCGAAATGGTTAAAGAAGAAAAGGCTTTTCCCCTTCCGGCAAAATCACAGGTGTTAAGATGTTAAAACACCAAATAGACACCTGTTACAAGGCATCAAGTCTGTATTAATCACACATACTTGTGGTAAAACATACAAACACAGTAAAACCTTGGATTGCGAGTAACTTGGTCTGCGAGTGTTTTGCAAGCCGAGCAAATTTTTTAAATAAATATTAATTTGATAAACGAGCGAGGACTTGCAATACGAGTAGTACGTGTATACGCTTTGTCTGCCGAGCGTCACGTGATCACAACTGATACACGAGTGCTTTGGATTACAAACACGTTTCCGAAACGATTTATGCTCGCCAGCCAAGGTTTTACTGTATGCAAATTTATATGCACTCTTCTTAAAATTGATTGGCCTACACCAAAGACAGCCTCCTGTATACTGGCAGGAGAAGTCCCGAAGATAAAACTGCTTAATCCGAGTCATCCAAATGTTACGTTAAGGGCAGCTGAGTGAATGAAACTACAAATCGTCAATCCCCAGATGGAGGAGAGGGTGGGATGGGAGTATTTGTAATTGAATGGTCACATGCCTACCAATTACCCAGCCTGCACCAGCGCTCTGCAATCAGGGTGCAGCACCCGGAAGTGATGTCTAGCCCTAAGCATCGTGCATACAGCAAGGCACGCTTAAAGTTGATGTTGTTTAACCGGGTGAAAACTCAAGTGAGACCAGGCTGAGTCTCATTTGCAAGAGTCACAATGGTCACGAAAATTATAAAAGAAAAACAAGTACATCTTCTTGGTTCTTTCGGTAAAGTCACATAGAAGGGAAATAATAAAATAATAAAAATAAAACATGATAAAATAATTCTCACGACGTTTCGGCCACAACGCAAGCAGCCGTCCTCAGGTGAAGAACAGGTCTGTCGGAAAGACAGCGTCTGAGGACGGCTGCATGCGTTGTGGCCGAAACGTCGTGATAATTATTTGATGTTTTATTTTTATTATTTTATTATTTACCTTCTACGTGACTTTACCGAAAGAACCAAGAAGATGAATCCCTGCAGTCACGAAAGCTTTAAATCGAAAAAGTACAGCAATGAAGCGAATATAAATCGGAAAAAAACGTTTATTTTACCAGGTAACGACCATTGAACTATAAAGCTCTTTTTCAGAAGCGACCTGGCCACAAATGATACCTCAACCAAGTGGCTTATCACGTGGACATTTATGGCAACCAAATACTCTAAATGCATGTTTCTAAATGTGGAGAGAAAAACCGGAGGACATGGAGAAAAATCCACTCGACCATGGGGAGAACATGCAAACGCCAAATATATAGGAGTCAGGGTAGGGATTGAACCCACGACCTCCTGTATACCAGGCGAGGTAGTTAACATGTCGCCACCCAAAATCAACTGTCACATGAGAAATCTAAAATAGTGCATAAACGTAAAGCAACGTTTAGTCATAAATTCCCTGTTTGCGCAAGTCGGCTCGGGCAGATTAAGTTTAGGCCACAGCACAATTATACTTCGGTTACAGACATATCAAACGGAAATAGGGTTACTTGTACTAATATGTACTAACACAGGGATGGTTAGTTTAACACGTAGACTTTCGCGACCAATATTATAGACAGGGGTGATCCATATTAACTTTCTTGTGAGGCCACTTGGCAATTTTAATGCTAAAATTCTTGTCGTTTAGCCTCCACTTTTGAATTCCATTTCTGAATTTGCTGCCTGAAGCTCAGAAAAGTTCCAGCGTAACATCGTGCGTGGATATTAAACATAATCGTGAGCAGTCTTTATCAATAAAAAATTTAGCGATGCATTGGCACGTGAAAATAATACCCGCGTAAAATAACCAAAGTCTTCTTGGTTCTTTCGGTAAAGTCACGTAGACTTTACCGAAAGAACCAAGAAGATGAATCCCTGCAGTCACGAAAGCTTTAAATCGAAAAATAACCAAAGCTTTCACGTTAAACGCGCTTCAGGATATATGCACGTGTGCGCAACACACTCGCACACCACATATCAACAGAGTAACCAACTCACCACGGAAGCAGCGGCACAGGTCCTCGTAGGGCAGGTACGCCAGCGTGCAGGCCGTTAAGGAGCAGCTTGCGACAAGACAGCGCCGAACCCGTCCCAAACCCTCGGCTACCAATACCGCTTAACGTCAACCGCGTCGATTCCCACGCGAGACTTGTGCCGGGTGGGGCCCGCTTTCTGGGTCCAACAGAGTCTTTCACCCATCTCCACGGTAACATGCACCGAGGGTGGTTCATCTTTAAAAGAGGCGCTGTACAACTGTAATACGTGTGCCTGATGGCAAGGAGCCTGGGTTTGATTCCCGAGTCAGACAGCCTTTCTACGTGGAGTTTGTACGTTCCCCCCCCCCTCATCTGTATGAGTTTTCTCCAAATTCTGTGGATTCCTCCCATAGATACAAAAACATACCATGTAACCGCAATTGCTCAAACATCCCAATGCAAAGACAAATTGCTTGTAAATTACTCAATTGGGGGTTACAGGTGGCGACATCACCCCCAACTTGTAAGAAACTAATGAAAATATTGGCAGGACCCTCCTGAAAAAGGGTCTTGTGAGGCTTTCCTGGGCAAACAAGCGGAATCATAATAAGCAGCCGTCACATGCTCTCATGTCCTTATCGACAACTTCTCGCAGTCTAATCCTCTTACTCCTTCCCCTCTTCCACCTTCCCCTAAACATTCACTGTCTGAGCTTTCATCCTCTTGGTTCTTTCGGTAAAGTCACGTAGAAGGGAAGTAATAAAATAATAAAAATAAAACACAATAAAATAATTCTCACGACGTTTCGGCCACAGCGCAAGCAGCCGTCACCTGAGGACGGCTGCTTGCGTTGTGGCCGAAACGTCGTGAGAATTATTTTATTATGTTTTATTTTTATTATTTTATTACTTCCCTTCTACGTGACTTTACCAAAAGAACCAAGAAGATGAATCCCTGCAGTCACGAAAGCTTTAAATGTCTGAGCTTTCCATTATTCAATGGTATTTTTCCAACCTTCCGGCTGCACGTTCAAACCAGCTTCGGCCTATTCTCTCAACTTCTCGTTGATCGCCGCTACCTTCAATCGGCATCTCACCTCCTTGTTTCTCAATGAAGGCTGTCAGCCAATTATACAGAACCCTAAGAATCCTGAATGTGTCTCTTTCTGGCTATGCGAGTCTTGTGCAACAGCACTGAAGCCTAAGAATCCTGATGGTACCTTCGTTTGCCATTCTGTCCATTGTAGCATTTATTGCGGTGTGCGCACATACAGTGACTGCAAATGCACGCATACTAATATTAATAACGTATATATCTGGGGCACCACGGTGGCGAGATGTTAACTACCTCGGCTGGTATACAGGAGGTCGTGGGTTCGATCCTGAAACCTGCTGTACATTTGGAGTTTGGATGTTCTCCCCATGGTTGCGTGGATCTTCCTCCTGGTCCTTCCAGTTTTTCCTTCCACATTTAGGGTATTTGGCAGCTATAAATGTCCACGTGATATAATGTGTGGCCAGGTCGCTTCTGAAAAACAGCTATATAACTCAGTGGGCCTTACCTGGTAAAATAAGAAATAGTTTAGTTATCTAATAAAAAAAAAAATATGAAGACAAACTAAAGTGAAACACAAAATATCTGACGGATGTTTTGCAGACGTCAACATCCCCCATGCCGATGCACCTTCTAAATATTGACCAACGGAGACACACTTGGCTCGTCCGCCAAAATGACAAAGTTTGGACACGTGCTTCCAGGCGGGGCGTGGCTGTAGGTGCGAGCGGGGCTGGGAGGATATGCGGCGTTGCCGGCATCCTCGGTGACGTTGCGGATGCTCTGCTGGACCCACGACCGCTGCGTCTCCAGTTCCTGCTCGCGGCGTTCCAGCTCCAGCATCTCGGCCTTGAGGCACACGAGGCGCTCCGACACCTCGCGCGTGTTGCAGCCTGGACCCAGTCCCCTGGCACGTCGCAAGCAGAGAACAAGTAAACCCGTAAAAACAACGTTTTTCAATATAAATGCTTTATACGCGTGGCATCGGGGCGGCTAGAGTCCTCTCGTCCTCTGGCAGCATTAAACAATTGGTAATTAAATATTTTAAAAAATTTCCCTAAACAGTGTAAAAATTCTGAAAATTGTTTTCACGAAAATGCATTGTCACGCACAACGAGTCTGTGTGCAAAATGTCAGCTCGATTGGATCACGGGAAGTGGGTTAAAAAACGACCTAAAGATTTGCACGGTCCTAAGCAAGCAAGCGAACTTAATATAAAGGATTTAAAAAGATCCCCATGTAGCCTATATAGACTGTTAAGGAATGTGCAACTAGCAAGCACCTGTTATTATTAGTACAATCATAATTTTTCGATTTAAAGCTTTCGTGACTGCAGGGATTCATCTTCTTGGTTCTTTCGGTAAAGTCACGTGCAATCATAATGTCGTAGGTATCAAGGCCAACACAGTGCGTGAGAGGGTGATGCGCCCAGCACCAGGCCCTGCTTCGTTTGTCTCCCCAGTGCTGCTGTTTACGCAATGCACCAGGTACTCCGTTAAGATTTAAGGCCTCGTCAAGCTAGGCAAGGCCCATACCCTATTTACATATTTGACACAATTGCTTGCCAAGGGTGAGAATCCATGACAGAAATAATGGAGCAACGAGTCAGCTTGTGTGCAGGAGCTAGCAGGATTGTTAACACTGAAAGACCATGAGATGCCGATGACGGAGGAGAGGACCTTACTTACTTCCACTGGATGCTGTTTTTGGACTTCTTCTCAATGAGGCCGATTCCCTCCAGCACATTGGTAATGTCGTATATCCGTCTCTTCTGCCGCACAGCCAACGTGTCTGCAGCCTGGACTCCCCACACACACACACACATCGTCCACTTAACCCTTTACACCGCACGAATATATATGCTGTTAGTAAGCGCCTATTTAGGCCGGAGGGGAAATTATAGGATGGCATACCAGTTCTGTTGTCTTCCATGTGCTGATATCTGAAAGAAATGAGCGCTACCACAATCTGGCAATGAGTGAATATCTTCAATTAAAATGTATAACGTGTGGTACGAACCCTTTGTCAATCCAACGCGAGATCAAGGCCTCTCGCCACGCCGTGTTAGTCATGAGAATCGTTTTACCATACATCACCACACTAGTCAGTGCGGGTTGGAAAATGGGGACCGGACTGGTTCTGATATGGCTCGCCCCCCCTGATGTTAGCCGTGGATCACAATCGAACGCAGGTCACCGGGTTCAGTGTCGTGCGGTAAGCACTACGCCACCACCGCTCCACTCCCAATTCCTCGATTACGATGGTGAAAAAAACCTCCCTGCGTGACCTTTTCCTCTCTGGCACTCTGCCACCCAGCCCAGCGGCGCTTGCTGTTGGCAAACAGACTCGGTCATTTACAGGCGCTACATAACAAGCATCAGCAAGCAACGACACTGGCCGCGGTTTCCGTACGCCTTATCACGCTCACACCACTTTCAACATGCAGCTCAGGACATAGCGGTGGCACTTGGAAGACCGAACACATGTAGCGCGACACGAGTGTGGCCACATCGCGACAAATCTCAATGGGCTGCAACAGTTGAAGACTACAGAGACTATCCATTGACTTGCCCCCATCTCTCCCCTGTCAAAACTCACTCCAGTACCTGCACCTACTCGCCTATGTCTTTCTCATCATCTCAATATACTGCCCTACCTTGTTTTATTCTACCAGCTAAGGCTCACTGAGCTATGTAGCTCTTTTTTCAGAAGCAAACTGGCCTAAAAATAATAGCTCAACGAAGTGGCTTATCACGTGGAAATAATATATAGCAGCCCAAAACTCTGAACGCATGTCAATTCTAAATGTGGAGGGGAAAACCAGAGGGCCCGGAGAAAAATCCATGCAATCACTGGGGAGAGAGACACGCAAACTCCAAATATACAGGCGTCCGGGTCGGGATCAAACCCTAAGAACTCCTTCCTGTATCTGGTAAACTACACGCGATCTCCTTCCTACCTTTTATCTCTCTTAGCTCTCTACTCCCCTAAACTCTCTGGTCTAATAACAAAGGCCCTATACTGAAGCCCCCACAGTCAACCTTCGCTCAGTGGGAGATCACTCATTCTCTACTGCTGCACTCATCTTCTTGGTTCTTTCGGTAAAGTCACGTAGAAGGGAAGTAATAAAATAATAAAAATAAAACATAATAAAATAATTATCACGACGTTTCGGCCACAACGCAAGTAGCCGTCCTCAGGTGAAACCAGGTCTGTCGAGGCGACAGCGTCTGAATGAAACAGCACACGTGCTTGGTTTCACCTGAGGACGGCTACTTGCGTTGTGGCCGAAACGTCGTGAGAATTATTTTATTATGTTTTATTTTTTATTATTTTATTACTTCCCTTCTACGTGACTTTACCGAAAGAACCAAGAAGATGAATCCCTGCAGTCACGAAAGCTTTAAATCGAAATTTATACTGCTGCACTATTCTATGGAACTCCCATCCCTAAGTGGTCAGTGCTGTCAAAACTCCCTGCTCTCGATCACATCTGCCTTGGACTGTCTTTCTTTAAAAAAAAACCCATAAATGAGCACTCTTTCTGCACTGCGTCTCGAAAAACTTTCACATATGTTATTTACATTTGCATATAATTGTACTGCTGCATATGTATGCACCATCAATTCTACAAGGTGTATAATGTGGGAATGAATAACACCGGTGAGCTGGCTTCATACATCATCGTAATGGACTTCTGTAGCCAAGATGAAAACAAAAGTACGTACCCTTGTGCCAAACCCCTGAAAACCTCAACAATGTTCCCAAGCCCTGAACCCCACACAAAACGTGCAACGACGACGTCTCTTAACAAGTCAACCCAAACCCCAAAACGAACGTCCTCTCTGTTCCTCGGACAATCTTGGCCTAGCGATTACAAGAACACAAAAGGTTGTGTGCATCAGGAGGAGTCACCACCGTTGCCAATTCCTTTATTTAATCGACAAATCCAAAGTGCGATGATGGAGCAATGGGGAGGAGGAGGGGTGGGGAGAGCTCATTGCCATGGCGACTCACGAACTCAACAGCAAGCCAGGGGCTCACAGACACGAAGTCTTATCTGCGGGTTCAAATGCGTTCTCGCCGACAAGATATTGCTCAAGAGGACCCCGTACAAGGGATTATACCCCCACCCCCCCTCAGCCCGCATCCTCCGTAAAGGGGTCGTATCAGTAGCCTCCCCTTGACAGAAGCCTGTCGTTGATTCAGCTGCCCTCGTTATGAGATGCGGATAAAGGCTCCTCCTGTTGGGGGCTTCCCCTGATTATTCGTTCACGGGGTCTATCGTAAAGAGGGTCCCGTCAAATGGGTCTCTGACAACGGTGACAACGGGTCTCGTCAGAGCGATTAAGTTCCATCAGCTTCAGCTCCATCGCGCCCCCCCCCCCCGACCCCCTCTGTGGGATCCGGCCAGGCTGCACGGCTCGCCTCGTCCCCCCGCGGGGAATCTAGGAAAGACCGTAGGCTCCGCGGGCCTTCCCAAACAACACTGCCCGAGTTCGCGCCGCGCTACGCCTGCGAGCGAGTGACAGGGGGCCCAGGTGACGGGCGAGCGACACGCACCACTTTCAGGTCGAGCACGCCGTCCTTGGCCTCCTGCAGCAGCGACACGAACTTGGCGGTGAGGAGCCCCAGGCTCTTCTCGTGTCGGCTCGGCGTGCCCGAAACCCCCGGCCCGTCCGCCATGCCGCCCCGCATTCACGCCGCGCTCACTGCGCATGCGCGGCGCTCTCATATCATTTTATTTGCTAGTACGGATAGGCACGCGAGGTGGTGGGGGTGGTGGTTGGTGGATGTCTGTCTGTGTGTGTGTAGATTTGAAGCTTTTGTGACTGCAAGGATTCATACGCTTAGGTTTTTTCGGTAAAGTCACGTAGGTAAAAATAATAGTAAAATAAGAATACATGAAAATTAATAAATTAAATCACAATAAAATAATAATAAATGAAAATAATTAAATTAAATCACAATAAAATAAAAATAAATGAAAATAACTAAATTAAATCACAATAAAAAAAGAATAAATGAAAATAACTAAATTAAATCACAATTTTGTTCTTTTCATTTATTATTATTTTATAATTATTATTCTTACCTACGTGACTTTACCGACAAAACCTAAGAGTATGTGTGTGTGTGTTGGAGCGTCCGTCTGCTACAGCAGAGGTGTAGGGAATTCCAACAAGACCTACATTTCTGCTTTATTGACCTGGTCAAGGCCTGTGATACCATCAGTAGGCCTGGGCTCTGGGTTGTTCTTCATGCTTTCGGAGTCACCGACCCTCTGCTCACGATCATTAAGGACCTTCAAGATGGTGAGCGGGCCCGGGTAAAACTACGTGGCCGGGAGTCAGAGCCATTCCCTGTACACCTTGGGGTGCGACAGGGATGTCCTCTGGCTCCCACATTATTTAACATCTATTTTGACCGCGTAGTTCGTGAAGCCTTCAATAGCTGTACCGGAAGAATTTCCATTTGGTACAGATATAATGGCAGGCTGATCGATGCCCGGGTGCGATCAAGGGATGGCTCCCTATTGGTCAACCACGTTATGTATGCCGATGATTTGGTAATAGCTGCTCACTCAGAGGAGGAGTTGGAGACGCTGCTGCTGAGACTGGAGCATGCCACTAAGAGGTGGGGCCTTACCATCAGCCCCACCAAAACTAAGCACCTACCTGGGTATTTTGTACCATCGGACATTCCACCCCCACAACTCCCAATCGATGATGGGGCAGTAGTGGAGAGAGTGGAGAGTTTCCCATACCTGGGCAGTGTGCTCATGACCGGCTCCGGCTTGACAGCAGAGGTCTCACTCCGAATCAGTCGAGCGGCAATATCTTTTCATCGGTTGCATAACGCTTTGTAGAAGCTGCCTGGTCTGTCACTCTGCACGAAGCTTCAGGTCTTCTCGGCCACAGTCATTCCCTCCCTTCCCTACGCTTGCGAAACGTGGACCCACATAGTGGAGCATCTTCGCCGGTTAGAAACATTTAGGCTGGCCTGCCTACGATCCATCCTGGGTTTAACCAGGCTGGATTGTGTGAGGAGCTCCCAAATCCTTGAAAGATCTGGACAAAGTCCCATCGGTGATCTCCTCCGGCAGGCAAGGCTGCGTTGGCTGGGTCATGTAGCCCGCATGCCCAGCCACCGCATGCCGAAACAGATTTTGTTCGGCCAGATCGAGGGGGCTAAACGGGCGCGGCACAGGCTAGAGAAGAGATGGAGTGATGTGGTACAGGAGGACGTGAGCTGAGTGGACTTGCCGATTAGTGGTACCAGCGGTGTCAAGATCGGCCTCTGTGGAGGAGGCTCGTGAAGGACGCTACTGGGCAGTTGGAGGCAGTCGCGCTCCAAAAACAATGGAAAGCGGAGAAGCGACGCTCACAACAACGAGGCACAGGTGGTGCATCAGCCAGTCATCTCAGTCGTCTCAGTCATCTCAGTCAGTCGACCCGTGGCACCTGCTGGGTCTGCCCCGTGACCTCCTGCCAGCAGGCGTTCGACACTTCACGTGGCCTCAACGTGCACCTAGCCTGGCACAAGCGCCGTGGTGACGTCACCGACACTTAGTGGCGAATGGTGTTTGTTGTTGTTGGGGGAGCGGTGGTGCAGCGGTTAGCGCTATGCCCAAACCGGGTTCGATTCCCGCTCACGGCCAACACCCGGTGACGATTGTCTGAACCGGTTCTGGGGCCCTTCCCCTAGGTCGATTCGGCCTCAAATTAGTAACCAGTTGCGATGTGTAAACGTCGCCACTGGGGAGACAAAGGCGGCCGGGGGCGTGGTTGCCGGCCTTCATAGGTGCTGTTCCCTCACGGCACTTGCCCCCCCAATTTGCTAAGGCTACCTGGGAGATCTTTGTCTTTGTGGGTGAGTCAGGTGATGACGCGCGATTACATTTGCTACAAGCGTTCGGCATGCCCGTCGCCGCCCCCCCTCCCCCCCACACGGGACAACAACGAGCACGCGGTGTGCATTGACGGCCATCTTGCTCAGGGGGAAACTTCGCGTTACCATAGCAACCATGGAGGCCTCTCCCTGAGCAAGATGGCGGACGTCCTCGTGTACTGCAACGCTGTGTGTGTGTATACAGGGTGCTTACAAAAATGTTTACACTTCTGAGAATTTGCAAACAATAACCACAAGACATGTGCCTCCGGGCTCTGGAGACCACCTGGAGAAGATTCCAGGCGTGTGTTGACAACGATGGCGAACAAATGGAGACTTTTGACTTTTTGAAGCTATTAAAATACATTTGTTTTCATGTTAGTTTCGTATCCGTTCTTTTGCCATTAAAAACGATAGTCCCATATACGTTCGGTTTGTTCAGTAAACTCGGACGCGTCGCCGGTTCGCCCTGTTCGCTCTCTATCATGTGCACGTCTTCTTCGAACGGAGCCGGACAAGCCCCTCTCTGTACCAGCGTGGACGGCACCCTCGTGTTCACCTTCTGAAGCGCTCGCTCGTCACCGTGGCGTGCGCGATGACCACCATAACCATCACCACCACCACGTGGCTTTTCTTTCGTGTTGTGCGCGGTGCTTTTAGCGCCACAGCGCGTGGATTTGTAGCGTTTGTTTTCATTTGTGTTGCTGGTGACTTTGTGTGTTTCATATCGGAATCGCCTCCAGTGCTGTTGCTGCTGGCGGAAATATAAACGTTGTTTAAAAAGTCAAAAGTATGTCTCTCATCGCGAATCCTTGCGAGGGGGTAGAGGTAGACAGGGCTGGATCAATAGACAACAAAAAATTATTTCGAAGACGAGTAAGGGGCCGTCCATAAATGACGTCACGCACCTAGGGAGGGGGGGCAGAGCTTTGTGACGTCATATTTGAGGGGGGGGTCCGACGCAAAAATCGTTAAAAATCGCGTGACGTCATTTATGGACGGCCCCTTACGCGATCTAACCCCCCCCCCCCCCCCCGCCAAAAAAAACTATTATGGATATTGGTCGCGAAAGCCTACGCGTTAAACCGAGCAATAAGAGAGACTGCGTTTGTGTTTCGTCCTCCGGAGAAGTGGTAGACTCAACAACAGCTGAGCACCACGTGGGGCGAGGTGGTTGCGAAACAGCTAAACTTTTTCTTATTATTGGTTCTTTCGGTAAAGTCACGTAGAAGGGACATAATAAAATAATAAAATTTAAAATAAAACATAATAAAAGACAATTCTCACGACTTTATTCTTAGCTGTCAACTCCTTATCAGTGGTAGGAACCCACTGGTTCCACCAGCCCACAGGGGATTATTGTATCCGTCCGTCGTGCAGGGAGGGGCTGGGTGGGGAGGATGGGGCTGGGTGGGGGGTGGGGCTGGGTGGGGAGGGGCTGGGTGGGGGGGGGAGGGGCTGGGTGGGGAGGGGCTGGGTGGGGAGGGGCTGGGTGGGGAGGGGCTGGGTGGGGGGTGGGGCTGGGTGGGGAGGGGCTGGGTGGGGGGGGGGGCTGGGTGGGGAGGGGCTGGGTGGGGAGGATGGGGCTGGGTGGGGAGGGGCTGGTCACCCGGTGGTGCCCTTATAAAACTCAACGTTTAACCTACTCACGCCGGCTTGTGCCCGCCCTCACAGTCGGGCATATTTGCGGAATACACCACGCCGCCGTTGACCCTGCAGGCCATTGACCGAGCAACCCAACGCTCCTACCAGCTCCCTCCGCAGGACAATGTGTTTACAGACAAATGCATGACCTTATTGGTCACCCGGCGCCCCTTATACATCTCAACGTTCATCCTGCAAAGTCCCATCACAAGGGAGAAACACAAATAGACAACTTTTTAGCCCGTCTTGAAACGGCTGTGCGCCGTATGGACCTGAAAAGTCAATTTCCCTGTACAAGAATACGGGGTAAGGGGCCGTCCATAAATGACGTCACGCGCTTTTGGACGATTTTTGACCCCCCGCCTTCGTCACACGGCGTCACAATAAGTCAGACCCCCCCCCTCAAATATGACGTCACAAAGCTCTGCCCCCCCCCCCCCCAAAAATAAAACATGCTTCAAATCTCTTTAAACTATCGTCATTGTAGTGCGTATTTAATGTGGCGCTGCACTCTGATGTTGTAGGAGAAAACATTTATTAAAAGGTCGATTTAATTAAGTAGAACGTTTTAAAGCTTTCGTGACTGCAGGGATTCATCTTCTTGGTTCTTTCGGTAAATACTCTTAGTTCTTTCGGTAAAGTCACGTAGAAGGGAAATAATTAAATAATACTAATTTCGCATACATTTTTTTCCTTTTATTACTTCCATTCTACGTGACTTTACCGAAAGAACCAAGAAGATAAGTAGAACGTGTTGTCCATATTTATTTAAAGTTGCGCATTTTGATGTGACGTCACATTTCTCACCCCCCCCCCCCTCGTCACACATCGTCACAAATGTCTGACCCCCCCCCCCTCCCATATGGGTTGACAGGTATGTCATTGCCTTCTATTAAAATAATGATTTTAAAAAAACATTTCTCGCTACCTGAATCTATTAGCGGAGTGCACGATTGTACGTGTAATTCATCACAGGCGAGCTGACAGCGGCTACAGACAGCGGGTTAAATGAGACAACCAGGAATTTCCAACGTCCCTTAGAGCCGAACCATCTCTTGAGAGCCCTTCTCGAATCCTATTGGGGCGATAATTGGGCACGGGAATTCAACTCATAGCAATCATCGCCCCCGACTGCAAAAAACAAACTTGGCAGGATCATCCTGAA